CACAATGATGCTTCCAATTTTTGGAGGCTTTTTTCTTTCGTTATCACTCAAAACCTACGACATACATGGTAGCAAAAAATAAGTTTTGGGAAATTAGACTTGACGGTCGAAAGACATATATCAGAATAGGAAATATTGGTGACAAAGGAGAAATAACAATGAAAGAACATAAAAGTTTGGCCGCTGCAAAACAATCTATGACTAAATTGATCGCTAGAAAGGAAAGTCAAGGATTTCAGAAACAAGATAAACCTTCATCAACAGCTGATGCTAAAGACGGTAAAAAACTAAACAGGTACCCCAAGCGACAAAAAAATATTCATGTTAATTCCAATGATAAGACTTTTTTGGATGATGATAAGTCAATTGAAGAAAATGCGGATGGTCCTGAATCTTCTAAACCGTGCGTCATTGACGATATCACTGATGATGGACAAAAAAACTCCGCGTCACCACCTGTATCAAACAACATCTTCAAATCTACTTTTAAGAAGACGGCTACCTTACCTTCTTCCATTACTAATGCTAAGCCTAAGTCAATTTTAAAAGGCAATATTCCTGATCTTTTACTCGCTCATCCTTGGAAAGAAGACGAAGTTGATCCAACTGGTTGGTGGATTTCTGAGAAGTTGGATGGGGTTAGGGCCTTCTGGTGTGGAAAACGAAGTGTATTCTTGTCCAGACAAGGAAAAGTTTATGCAGCGCCTGCTTGGTAAGTCTAATAAAATATTCACTTTGTCACATTATATTATAGATTTTAAAAGCTTATTAAATTTCTTTTACCTTTAGGTTTACAAAAGGTGAATAATGTTTATTTGCTATCAATAAGAAGCAATTTTTTGAAACCTTAAATCTTCTTTCATTGCCAGGTTTACCGAAAGACATTGATCTTGACGGTGAACTTTTCGGTGGTCGCGGCAAATTTCAATCAACAGTTAGTATCGTGAAAGCTGGTGTTGAAGAATGGAAGAAAATAACCTATCAGGTATATAGACGTATTATTTCTTTTTTTATGTATATAAATCTATATTTTTCATAATAAATATGATTTGTCTTTTCTTATCTAGATTTTTGATGTCCCATCGTACTCTAATGCACCTTTTGAGGATCGTATTGCTTATATCGAAGATTTGGTAGAGAAACACAAGCAAGTAACTTACAAGCTAACAAATCTAACTATATTATAATATACCTTATAGATTACAATATGTTTTATAATTCTACTGTATTAGCTCTCCATATGTGCAATTAGTTCAACATAGATATTGCAAATCAGCTAAAGATATTTTTGATGAATTGAAAAGAGTTGAAGCAGTCGGTGGAGAAGGGTTAATGATTAGAAAACCGAAAAGTGAATATGTTTGTGGTCGATCCAACACATTATTAAAAGTATGTTCAAATATTGTGATAAATTTATTTAAATGTTCATTCATTAAACATAATTGGTACAATTACAAATTTTAGATTAAATCATTTTATGATGGTGAAGCTCTTTTAGAAGGTTACGAACCAGGAAAAGGAAAATATACAGGAATGACAGGTGCATTAAAATGTGTGATGGCTTGTGGTAAAAAGTTTAAGGTCGGATCTGGATTGAGTGATAACGAAAGAAAAAAGCCTCCAAAAATTGGAAGCATCATTGTGTAAATATAAATTACTATTTCTTCGATTTAATTTTATTTTTTGAGGAAAGCCAATTAATTATTCATTAATAATTGAAATATACTGTGTATAATAGATATCGATGCCAAGAACTTAGTGATAGTGGGTCCCCACGATTTCCTACATTTATTGGTGTTGCTGCTGACAAAACTAAGCCTAAGGATCCGGATTTCGGACAGAAACTGAAAATTAAATAATTAAGCATTATTGATAATGTCAAATCTGATCCATTTCCTCATACGAATCAGGGTAATATTCATTAATCACTTGTGATTTTGATATAGTGATCAAGAATTATCATAATAACTGTCGGGGATGATGCTGAAATCGGATGATGCTGAAATTCACGTGATCACATGATGATCTTCCGTATAAACGAACC